AGTTCCATGAACATTATCACTCCTCGTTATTGCTTCCTCAAGTTTATCCAGTCTCCGGCACTCAATTGCAATTCCCATAGCTTGTTGGTATTTTTCATCCATGATACACCTGATTGAAAGAAAGTAAGATCCCTAGACTAACTCCAAAATACTTTCAGCAGGTAAGAAAGCAAATTCTACATACTTGTCCAGCATTCTCTCCACAATTGCCTCCAACCTAGGGTCAACCTTTGCTGCTTCATCGCTTGATTCTGCAGCCTTCGACCGAAGACTGGCATACTCATCAATTGCCTTGGCTGAAATTAAGCGCATATCCAGTCAACGATATCAAATTTAAAACACTTTATACACAACATAATCAACCATATATCAATGTTTAGGCTTGCCTAAACCCTCACTAGCATCTACTTTCACAGGGAGCAAACACAACCACAAACCACAGGTTAATAACATAATCATCAGAACATATAGCATATGATCAAAGTTCTTACCAAGGAGAGTATGAACATAATCAGAATCGTCAGAAACATCAAAAAGGGGACCAGCTCCAAGAGCATATGACAATGAATCATTAAGTTCACCCAAGTAATAAAAGACCTGAAAACAACAATATAGCCAATATAAGTAAAAGTCAACATAGTCAAAATTCAATAAAAGAGCAACTAGAAATAGGGCATCAACTTCTATTACTTCTCATTTACAAATTGTAAATGCAATCAAAACAATGTTCACAAACCAAACTGTGGCATCATTTTACATGATAAATGCATCCATTGAAGATTATAATATTATATTGTGTACACATATACATATATAAACAGTCTGAATAAATGATATTAGACCAGTTTTTTTCATTTGTCTTTCGGAATTGGACTATTCTTTTGGGGTCATTAAAATTTGCTAAATCAGCAGTGTTAATAAAGAATACTTGTCCAGCAAATGCAAAGATACAAAGTTGGAGATCATGGAGTTCAGATTATTTTGCTGTTTTGGAAAGAACTCATTAGTTCAATTTCCATAAAATGATTCAAACATGCATGTTGCATGCACTTGTTCACTAACATGTACATGCATACACTCATAGAGCAAGAGAGGCAGGAAAGGAGTACCTTTGAGACGAGCAATGCAGCAAGTTGTCTCTGATGCTGGCCAAATTCTTCATCTTCGTATAAACTTTCTCTGAAACACAAAGATAGCATCAGCATTCATATGCAGAACTCATGCAGTTCACTATTTTGAATTAGAATCATATAAGAATGGAACATATTGCGTCATATACATTTAAAATGACCTGAAGGTGGATGTATGCCCCCCAAACCAAAACAGACACCAAATTTTCAATTAGAACTTTCTAAGTGAACAAGCCATAACCCACATTGCAAAATAATTGCTTTCAATTCTGCATAATCTGAATCTTATAAAATTTGTGCAAAACATATATCTGACTAAAGCAATCAATTATCGGATATCCAGAAAAATTGCTGAAATTTTGTCGAATTGAAAATTCACCTTTCATCAGCTAAACCCTAATTTAAAAGGCAAACATAAAACATGGCCAAAACTTTCACAAACAAGAGAAAGAACCCAAGCTTACCAAGATTCCAAATGTACCCACTAAAGCTCCTGAATTCAACCTAAAATGTCACTCTTTTCTACCGTAACCACACCAAAACATCGAAAAGTGCTTTCTTGACTATGTTTCCCTCAATTTTCCCACCAACCAATCAGATCAAAACAACGAAACCCTAAACCCTAACCAAACAAAAAACAAAAAATCAACATAAAAAATTAGTATTACATGATAGGGACGCTGGTGGAGATCTCAGGCCAAAATTGGTCAACGAAGCTGATGAGATTAGAGAGAGCATGGAACTTCAATTGAGGATGGCTCTCATTAAGCATCGCCAGCAACCCTCCAGCCGAGCTCACCATCGTCGCCGCTGCTGCCGCCATTATTAATCTTCCCGAAAATAAAAACCCTACCTCTCTACTGTATTCTTGAGAGATTTCGTCAACAAAAAGAAGAAAAGAGAGGGGTAAAACAGAGATTTTACTTTCGATATTTTGTAGGTAAAAGATAACCGTCGACGATCCGGAGACGAACCCGGAGGAGGAACGACGACGGAGAAATAAAGAACAAAGAGGGAAGATATTCCGGTTGGTTTTTTGTTTGTTGGATTTAAGTTTGGGGAAAACGGGAAATTTTTTTAGTTGGTTTTATAGTGTGTTGTGAATCCTGATTGAAGATCGAATATACACTTATCTTGACGGAAAAGAAATCATTTTTGTTTTTTGTTTTTGGAACTTTTAAATTAGCCTTTAAACATTTTTAATTACACGATTAGGCAATTTTTATCCTCCTAATTTTACTTTCTTTTCTTTAATTAATTAACTTAAAGTATGTTAGGCTTTGTTAAGCAATGATTACAGTTTTTGAAGCCTATATAAATTTGAATGGTCATTTTTCCTTAAATATCTTCAGGTGTAGTGAATAATAAAATAAATTTGTTAATATTGATATTTTCTTTGTTTAATTTACATTTTAAATTAAATTACATAAACTTTTTAATAAATAGATTGTCTAAATTAGAAAAAATCAAAGTTTTAAAAATGACAATAATTTTTTTATTTGTTTAAATACTAATCCGACTCAACTCGATATAAATTTTAGCATTCACAAAATAAAATCAAACAGTAAAAATATGTCATTTTAGATTTTATTAGAGTTTAGACTATGATTTTAAAATTATTGCTTACATTTATCGGTCATAACATACTTAATAAGTTTAAAGTTGCCTTGTTTGTATAAGTTTTATAAAATATATGCTGGAATTTTCTCTCTTTTTTTTAATCTTGGAACGTTTTTATTCCAGGATTAGACCCTTGTGAATTTACTTTGTTCAATTTTATCCTCTTAATTTTACTTTTGTTCTTTAATTAATTAATTTAAAAGTACGTTAAAAGATAAAAAAGAATGCTAACAATGAATACATTTTTTTAGTTATATAAAAATTTTAATACCCTCTTCTTAAACATCCTCACATGTAGCAAATAATAAAAAGAAAAACTTTTTAATTATAATCTCTTTGTTTATTTAACGTAAATTTTAATAAATATATATTATAATAAAAATGAAATTCTAAATTAAAAATATTTATAATTTGATTATTACAATAATTATTGTATTTATTTGAGTACCAATTTGATTCAACTCAATCTAAGTTTTAACACTTACGAAACAAGATATGGAGCAAAAATATGTGATTTAAATTTGATTAGAATTTTAGGTGGTGGCTTTAAGACTGTTGCTTACATATATTATAATATATCAGTATATCATATCTTCATCAATATTTACATGTATTAATTTTAACATAATTAAAACATAATTTAAAAAAAAATAATTTTTTTAAAATTAAATAATTTTTTATTCTTTTATTAATTTTAATTAAATTCATATATTTTTATTTTAAATTAAATAATAACTAATAATTAATTAATTTTTATTAATTAAAATATCACTTATCATTTTACATACACATGACACTAATGTAGATAGTGAAAAAAATTTCATGACTATATTATTATGTCATATTAATATTCTATAACATTATCAATTATAATACATCAATATGTCACATTATCATTAATTATGACATATTAGCATATCAAGTCAATGTCATTCAGTATAAAATGATAAATGACATTTTAGTTAAATTAATTATTAATCATAAAAACTTATTTGACATACAATAAAAATATACAAGATTATTTGACTTAAAATAAAAAAATAAAATTTTGATTGAATATAACAAAAGTATAAAGACTTATTTAAATTTTGTTGAATAGTTTAGAAATTTTTGTATATATTATGTCCATAATTAATATGTTTTTGTTTGTATTGTTGCTTATAAGTTTATGAAATATTTGCTACAACTTTCTTTTATTTTTTTTCTTTTTTGCAAACTTTTTGCTTCAAATTAGTTTGATGTGATTTGATTTTTTTTTTGATAACGAAACAAAGAGCAACCTAAATTGAAACTTTATGTTATTAATTAATCAATAATCAATTCAAAATAAGTCAAAGTTTTGGATTTCTATTTATCGATTGAATACAAAGCCCAAGACTGGCCTGAAACAAATGAGGCTTTCAGGCCTGGGTGGTGGCCTTCCTGGCCCATATCTACACGTTAACCTAAAGCTAAACAAAAGAGGGGACAAAAGTTTAATTGGCAAGAAACTCTGAAAATGATATTCTTCAACACCATGTTACCTAAGAACATAACCATATCTCTGAGAATTAAACACGTGTAGTGCGGTCCAAATATTAATTGATTGGTCTTAACTATAGATTTTCGGCTATTTACCCTTCTTTTGCCTAATTTTTGTTTCTACATTAAGCTACTTATTATAGTTGAATTATACATTTATCCAACTTCTTTTTCTACCCCTTATCATCTCAAAATTTAGTTACCATTTCTTATCAAATAAAGCACATATTAGTATTATTATCAAATATTATGTCTACATGTATAAGAGAAAAAAAATTGCTTCAAATTAGTTCAAGACCCGTTTAGTTTATTATATCTATATGTGTAAAATAAACGTTCCTATTCAAAAATTAAAACCAAACACATAACTTAAAAAAAAAAAAACAAAATGATGAATAATTTTACTAATATTAGGTGAAAGAATTATAACTTATATGTCAATAAATATAACAATTTACTTATTTTAAGTAAACAATAAATATTAAAAATAACGATTAAACAGAGACTAAATAAAAGAGAAGGTGGGGAGTAGGTGAAAAAATTCTTGGGTTCCATAAAAACACCTTATTAATTAAAAATAGAAATCCAAAAACAAAAGAAATTATAAATAGAAAGTAAATTAAAAGAGAACAAAGGAACTAACTCATCTGCCAAACAATTCCCTCACGATATGAACAGCCTACCAAAGGCAGCCATCTAAATATCTAAAGTCCCACCCAACTACCTACCAAAACCAAACTCCATGGAAATGACTTCCCCCTCTCTCTCTCCTTCCACATTTATTGCACTTCTCTCTCTTTGGTCTTAACCAATTCAACTAAGCTATTAGTATTACTATACATGAAACAGTAGACAGCCTTCCTAGGTAGTTGGTTTGCCCACAGATAAATCTCTTTGCATCATCCCCTTTTCAACCCAAACAAAAAAGGAAGCCAGCTTTCTATCCCTCTTTCACAGTTCTTTACTTCTTTGTTTATTAGTATATATCTTGTCCTTTGCTTAAGTACAAACTTCAGTTATTGAGAGAGAGAGAGAGAGAGAGAGACAGATAAAGCTTAAACAGGAGCAAAGTAAAGCAAAATGGGTGGCGATGGAAAGTTGTTCACTTTGGCTCAAGTATCTGAGCACAACACCCCCAAAGACTGCTGGCTCATCATCAATGGCAAGGTCATCTTTTTTTGTTCTCCTTATTATGATGGCTTGATTTGTTTGTTTAATGTCAAAGTTGAGGACTTTGCATGTTTCTGACATGTTGGTACTTTCAAGCTTGCATTTTTTTATGTTTCATTTGCTGGTTTTTAATTGATGTATGAACTATGGACCCATTTAAGAATTGCAGTTTCTGAATATGGTTCAACTGATTAGTTGTTGGAATTTATGTCCTAGCGCTTGCTGTCTTATGGTGTCTTTTGTGTGTGTGTGTGTGTGTTTTTTTTGGAGTTTAATCTCCTGATCCATATGAGATTTAAATTGTTTTTCATGTGATTGAACTAAGCTGTTTTGTTTACATCTTTTAGCCCGCTTGAAACATTGATTTGCATGTTTGAAGTTATATGTATATTCATATTCAAATTAGATCCTTACTCTCATAAGTTATGATGCAAAGGGGTCACTGTTGTGCTTTATCTGTGGAGTGGTGGCAGTGATTATTTTGAGAAATTTTAGAATACCAAGGATTTGGATTGAAGTTTGATCAGTGTCCTTCTCTATCTATGGGACAGCAAGACTTGAAAACTTTTTGGAAGAGGACTTATAGTTGTTACTAACCTTCTTTTTTTGTCCTTGGATGGCTAATTTAATTCTCTGTTATCTTCAGTATAGATGGCCTAGGGTTGGTTGTAGATAACTTCTAGAGCTGACTAGGAAGAGCTATCAAACTTTTTAGGATTTATTTTTTAATGACTTATTTTAGGATTCATGATGAAGAAGTTACATCTTCTGTTAGTTGTCATAGCTCCACTATATTGTTCGCATAGTTTCTGAGGGGACTTATGAAATGCATACTCAGATCCACTGGAGGTCTATGTTAGGTTGGGTAGCTGATGAGAATTTTCAGTAAAAACCTACTGGAATCTTGAGTGCTTAAGCTCCTTGAAGTTATCTGATTAAATGGGAGACTTTTCTTCATTTTGGGATATGTTGCGTTTGTGATATTTTCGTTTTAATTTTCAAAGGATATAATTGGGCAAAACTTTTATAAATTTTCCTGGATAATTGGCCTTGTAGGTTGATTGAATAGGAAAACTCTGTTTCTATTTCCATTTTATTACATGTTGACCTTTTTACTTCTTCATATGCCTGGTGCTTTTGACTATACCCATATTCAGTACCCACGCCTCTCCCCCAAGAGTGAAAGGCTTGCCGTATTCTATTTATATGAAAATACAAGTTAAATGTCTAAAATTAAATGTGTTTATTTTTCCAGTCCTAGTTCTTTAATTACGAAACATACCAATCCAAAAGAAGCCTAATTTTAGAGTCCTTGCTGCTTTTGAACCAGCAATAAAATAAAGGGACTACTGTTAATAGGAGCCTCAAGATTTATCTTGTGATAATTGTTTAGATAATTCTAGTAATATTCATTGATTTTTGTTTATATTTGTGAAAAATTGGACTTCCTCTGAAAGCACGCGTCTACCCTAGCTCAACTATGTTCTTTTGCTGCTTCAGAAGGACCAAAGAATATACAAGTTGAAGTACTCTCTTATATCTCTTAGTAGCTTCATATTTAAACATTATAATATAAATAGAATAAAGAGCAGAATCAAGGTTAAATTGAAGCTTATTATATGATCAAATTAAAAAAACCAGTGAGAAATCAACAGGCTGGTATGCTGAGAGCTCTAGTTGCAGGAGAAATCATAAAAATTCACTCTTAACAATTTTCAAAAAAATAAAAGTTCAGTGTAAAAACCCATAAGTCTGTGCTGGTGATTTTGCTTTTATGGTTGTTCTCTCTTTTGTATTGGGGTCACTCCATGATTTCTTCAATGGCTTTGTTACTTCATGCAAACTTCTCTGTATTTGCTTCAATGATTGTGAACTTGAGCAGGAATTTATCAATGTTATTAGAAACAAGACTGTTTATATGCTGCTATCAAAGATAAATTTAATCACAGAAGTGACAACCTTCCATACTTGTGTCTTTCTGAACATTCCCATCGTAATTTGTTAATGATAGATTGCAGGTTATGTTTTCGAAAATTTTGAAGAGCACAATTTCTACAAATTATGTAATTCTTACTTCATTTTGGTGCCTGTCTCATTTTTTGAAACAGGTTTATGATGTGACAAAATTTTTGGAAGACCACCCTGGTGGTGATGAAGTTCTATTATCAGCGACAGGTACAAACTTGGAGTCTAATTTTTATCAGACTTTCTTTGTAGTTTCTTTTCTTCTTCTTAACATGTATACTACCAAGAACTTGACATGGTGTTAATATGTATATTATGCAGGGAAGGATGCCACTGATGATTTTGAGGACGTGGGCCATAGTGATAGTGCCAGAGACATGATGGATCAATACTATGTTGGAGAGATTGATGTCTCAACTATCCCCAAGAAGACCACGTATAAGCCTCCTAAGCAGCCTCACTATAATCAGGACAAGACATCTGAGTTCATCATCAAGCTCCTTCAATTCTTAGTTCCCCTTGCCATCTTAGGTTTGGCCGTTGGTATCCGCATCTATACCAAATCATCTTAAAAGTCCAGATTGTGTTCTGATGACAGCAAACTTGTGGTTTCATTTATGCTAATCATTGAAGACTGTTTGTCCTCTCCCTATGTTGTTGTTACTGTTGTTGCAACTGGTAGTGTAGTGGAATCTATGATTGCTAAGATAATTCAACACTTTACTTTTATTGAATGCAGAACTGAAAAAAAGTATAATTGGAGATCATGAGAAGCCTCGAGTAACCTTAATCGGTGTGCGGGTAACATGATCTTAACATCAAGGTGTATGAAAACCTGCATTTCTGTTACCCTGATTTTGAAGCAACATGGTCACAGTAGATAAGATTTGTAGGGTATGACTTGTTGAACTTAATGAACTTACTGCTTCTGAGGGATCTTCCACTATAAGCCTCTTTGCAAATATAGGATCATGGAGTGCTTAGTTGCATTGCCTTGTCGTCTACAATAGGTATGAATGAGGGTCCATAAAAAACAGACTGCTGGCTTCTATGGTGATTCTCAATCTCTAACACATAGCTAGTATGATTGTCATTGCCCCTTTTCTGGGGGTAAAAGAAAGAGAAAAAGTTATATCCTCTTTTGAAAAACCAGGCAAAATAAACCAACTGTGTCTCTCATCCAGGGGTGGACATTGTAGGTCTAAAACTCACTCACCAGAAGAGACAGAGAAAGGGAAAAGTTAAGCCTTGTCGTTAATCTAGGACAAAAAAAGATGGTAAGAGTAATGAGTCCCTCTAGGTTTTTTGTCACGTCATTAGAATTATTAGACAGCTATGCTGGAGAAAAGTTGAAACCGGACCAAAGAAAAACGATAGTCGGAAGCCTACTTAGGGGCTGAGGGTGGTTTTCGGCCCCATGACATGCTAGACTCAAGACCTTTTTGGACAAATAGAAAGGGCCCCAGCCACAGTCAAAAAACCCATGGACCATGCAAATGCTTGCTCGGCTTCAGCGCTGTCATACAATTATTATAAATGCCACGTTCAATCATCTAATATAAGAAATCAACATTTTAGGTAGACAAAGGTAATTCTTATTAATATTAATTTTTTAAGTTAATTGTGTGTCTCTTGTGTAGCACTGAGTTTAATATTAGTAACAAGTAAAAGACAGATAGATGTGGGGAAGGGGGATTCAAATTCAAATTGAGGAATGGATTTCGTCTGTTTCTGTAAATATGCTGATTGACAGAGAGCTTTTTCACTTGAATGTGGTCTTGGGGGGAAAACAGGGATCTAAAGATTCCGAACCCAAGAATATGCTAAGGGGGGCAGCTTAATGCTTTTGTTGCCTAGTGATCCAAGTATCTAACCATTGTTGCAAGGCTTAAAAACTTTTGTGTATTTGTGGGGCTTCCCCCCAAAAATTCCATTACACAAAGAAAAATCGAAGCAAACTAGCCTGGAATTTGAGACTTAGAGATTGTTCAAATGCCCTTGAGAAAATATTCTTCTTTGATGGAAAACTGTAAAACATGTTCAAATCAGTTTCCAGACAGATTTTCACTCTGATAAAACTGTTTTCACTTTTGACCACACCAAGGGCATATTGTTTCAAGGGGAGTTCCAACATTCTAAATTATTGAATCTGATAACAGAAGACATGAAGATGCATAGAAGCCAAAGGAATAGCCTTGAGCTGCTTTATTTTCTCTCCTTTCAACATTGCAATTAGTTCTGTCAAATTGGCCTTCTTTTATCTTTGTAACTTTCAGCAGATCACCCCCATATCTTCACATTCTCAACTTCATCCATTAAAAAATTTTTCTTCTTTTTCTGCTCTGTTGGAATAAAATCAGAAAGGGATCCTTTGAAAGAATCTTGGCCCTGCCCGAGGTATGGTAATGATCCAAAGAAGCTCACTAGAAGACAAGTTCAAGGCAAATGGGATCAAAATTAATCCAAGTATGTGTGATCAGTTTGCCAATAGCTAAACAGATCTCATTCTCTCTCATTTCCCCCTCCCAAACCCTGTATTAAATTCACCTTCTTTCTTTTCTTTTTTTTTGTTATCTTAATTTTATCTGCATCAGATAGATGTCATAATGAGTGCAGAAAGTTTTTGAGGACCACTTTTTGTGGAAATGGCAGGGTTCCAATTGCACATGCAATATCTTTGTATAAAATTGGGCAGAGGCTTCATGAAAGCTACTTTCAATTCCCTTGTAAGCCCAAAGGGACAGTGCTCAGTTTTTGGGTACTGTTTAACAGTTGGCCGTAGCGTGCAAGTGTCCAAAAACAAAATGAGTCACCCCGAGGCCTCTCCCAAGAACAGTAAAGATCCAAAATCCTTCACAAAATAGGTCAACTTGTCTCTCCCCGTTCAGCCAGAAGCATCACCGCCACAACTTCTTTTTACTTGCTTTCGAAGATTCAAAAGGGCCAGCAGAGGTGGGGGCCATTGTGAGGGTTATGGAAGTACCATTTCTACCCTTGTCTGCAGGAACTTTGAGGGCGCCCTTTTCCCCATTTTCCCTAGTGTGACCTCATTGAATTTGGATTCGGTCAAAGGCATATCAACATGTGGGAGGCAGTTCCCTTGTAATGGTCTTCCACTGGTAAAACAGACAATCAATGGCCAGTAGAAAGTTTTGATGAAAACCCCTACTCACAGATTTTGAAACACAATGAAAAAACAAAAGTTTCGTTGGAAATTGAAGATTCCTCAGTTTCATCCAATGGCAATAGAGCAACACCCACCTCCACTATAACCACCAGGCTCCATCATTTTTCCAATCAAAACTCCTTATCATTAGTGGGGTGAAACTAGATTCCATCAGATAACATGCGATGAGGAAAGACTTGCACCATTTTGGACTGAAAGGGAGGAGCTTTCACATTGCTTAATCCGACAACTAGCTGGGGCATCTGGCATTCCAATTTGTGAAAATTATCTAGCAGAGAAGAAGAAAAGAGAAAGGAAAGCTACTTCTCTACCAAACTTATGTATTACAGGCATGTCAAATTAAATACCAAAGGCAAGAAAATGTGAAGTTCCTAGTTTTGTCATGAAAGACAGTGGCTGTTTTTCCCCCATCAAGTGCATTTTCCCTTGAAGCCGGAAATATTTAATGTTTGCCAGGTGCATTCTGCAAAGTGCAGAGCCATTATAAAATGGCTTTCCACTAAGTATGGAAAAGCATAGCAATTAAGAAAAAAAGAGTATTTGGTACCCCATTCAATCATGTAATCCTAATCCTCCATTTCAGCATCTTTAACCCTAAAATGGTTTACATTTCTTCCACAGAAGTGAGTTGCAGAGAAGTTAAAAAGTGCAGTGTGGACATGATAGGGAATACAAGATTCTTCCAATAGATTGCCACCTAGAAAAGCCACCCCACCACTATCTCCAAAAACCACCAACCATCTTCACATGAGGTTAAAAGCACAGCAGTCGGTCATGACTCAAATGAAATAATATCGTCTCGGATCATAGTGATGGACCGCATTATTATCATCTTTAAGTTCATGAACTGATAAAAGTTCCATTGTCTCACATGGAGATAAAAAAGGCCAAAATTTAACTGTGAGGATCATAATAGATGATAGAGGAAAAGACAAAATATAAGAGGAGGAAAGGGATCATGTTTATTCCATAAGAGTTTTTCAAAGTTCCATCAGTACAAGTATAGACAAACAAAGGGAGGAAAATACAGTACCAAAGAAAAAAGAAAACAAAATCTAGTAAATTCTGTACCAGATCAACTGACCTAATTGACTGACCCTGAAGTCCCTAAACTCTAGCCTACTCATCCTTTCCCTTCCCTTCTCAGATGATCTGTTAGACAAAGGACTTTGATTTGTATTTGTTGTGTAACTCGTTACCTCTGTTATGTTACAGACCATTAGTCTACACAATTCTTTTAACAGTCCTACTTCTTTCTTTACAAGTAAAATAAGGGTGATGGAAAATGGAAATAACACCACCACCTTTACAACTAAAGGCTAATTCCTGCTAGCTGAAAAAACCTAACTTTAAAGATCAACTGAGAATTTGGCAGGAAAATAAGTCCTGATGGAACACTAATATCGTCTAGGGGTCCACTTTCTCCCATTCATAACGTCCTGGGAGTGGCTTATCATTCACTGGATCAAAGTTGTACCTGCAAATAACCCCACATCTTCCATCAGATTCTAACCCCAATAATACACCAAGGAGCAATGCAAAAATTTCAAACAACCAGAAACGTGAGAAGCAGGGTGAAATAAATGTAGTATACTTCTCAATGAATTGTCTTTGCTGCTCTTCTTCTGCAACGGCAAAGAACTCATCCATTTCTTGAGCAGTTGGGATGTGCCGCCGCGTTGAATTCTGTACTCTTTGGTTAGTCTCTGCTGAGCTGGTAGGCCTAGTAGTAGAACCAGGGGTTCTTATACTCTCTGGGTCCCTTATCAAGCTGCAAGGAGTTGATTCCCTAGCGCTCCTGCACAGAACAATAGCCATTAGTTAATGAAAAGTAACAAAATCTAAAGACAAACACTCAATTCTAGGAATCCGGTAAAAACATTAACTATTCTTTTCCCTGCTTTACTTTACATCAACCCCCCAAACATTACATGGAGAACCAGAACGTACCAATCATTTGAAGAATAACAACTGAAAGTGCTAAAAGCATAAGGGTTTCTCAGTGTACAATAAAAAAGAAGCGACTCTTTTGATCAACGTTCAAGCAAAAAGGCTCTGCAATTCTGGGGGGAAATAAATGATGGATAAAAGCCAATGTTTCCATTTTGTTTTTGATCCTGCTTCCACGTTGACATGCTTCAATCACCAATATTTCAGCAGAAAAGATTCCATAAATCCAAAGAGTTTAACATACACGTTAAAATCACAAAAAGCTGTTCTACAATAATTTCTGCAAGGACAAACTGAGATGACAGAGACCTTTTTCTCCCTTAATTCTTTTCTCTTTTTTCTTTTTCGCCCGGGGGTGGGGGGTTGTTAATGAACAGAGATGAAATTCATCACAGAAATTTGGCTTAACCAAGCAGATAGTAAAAAAAAAAAAACAGGAACAAAAATCAGACAGTACCAAGCAAAGAGTAATAAAGTATATATATAAATCAATAAAGCCATATTTTCTGATTATTAGAATCTCCTGGAAATCAGATTTTCATCCAGTAACTAAATAATCTCAAAGCATGGAATCAGAAAGCAAATTAGAACCGTGTCTTCCAAAGAGATAAGCTCAAGCAGCATAATAATCCCCAAGAAAAAGAAAACAAACACAAAATGGTTGTGTAATTTTTAATCTTGAAACAGTCACAGTATCCACCACAATGAAAACAACAAAATGTTTTGTTTCTTTCCATTAGAATAATGTAGCAGCATACAAACCTAAAAGTCCCTAAACAAAAGAACCTACTGTAGGATATATTTTATTTAGATGACCAAATAATTAGACAAACCCAAGTTTTAGAAGCATAAGAAGTCACCAAATTTAAAAGAAAAAAGCATAAGCAAAAATCAATTATATTAACAAAACAAAAAAGTTATGAATGACAAGGGAAGGGCTGGTAATAATATCGTTTAATGTCAGAAACAATGGTTTCTGTCATAATACAGCTGCTTGCTACCACCAAAAAGAAAAGATCAAAATTCAGAAGTAACAAAACTGTAAGAATCAATAATCGCCACCTTTGCTTGTGACAAAAAAAAGGACATCAGCTGACTGATTTAATTTCTCTGCAGGGAAAGACTACAGGAATAGATGAAGAGATAAAATTGCAACGTTTCGAACAAAAAAAGCACCTCTCAGCAATTGATTCACGAGAATTTCATAACATAAAGATAATTCTAAAACTTTCCCAGCACAAAAGCACTGCAGAAACTTTCCTAGCAGAAAAACACTGCAACGACTGAGAAAATTTAGAACCCAAAGGAGAAAATGGGTTTTCTTAATTGTGAAAGTTCAATCAGCCTCATTAAAAAAAAAAAAGAAAAGAAAAACCATAGCATAACTCTATTTCAAGCGGGGAAGTAATCCCTTCTTTCAACCCAAAGGAAATGTAGAAATCATGTAAAAATATGAGGGAGACAGAGGAATCAAGGGTGGTTATTCTTTTTTCCTGTTTTGGCTAGTGAATCAAAGTGCTCAAGACATTAAGAAAAAAAGATGCATGATTTAATAAAAATACATAAAATATATACCCAAATATTTAACACTTCCTCAAGATACCCAAAAAGACTCTGGAGCTCAGTTTAAGTAAAGGTAAAAAGAACAGAAAAAAGTTGCAATTTTTCAATGTATTTCATATCAAAATTTTCTATTATCTCCAAATAAAATATCAACAACCACAATAATTTTTCTTTAGAAAAAAAAAAAACATCTTGTGTCCCATATATTAAAAAGAACAAGAGAGGAGGGAAAAAGATTTAAATCAGATTTTAAAAGAAAAAAAAAACCCAAAATATAATCAATTAAAATTAAAGCTCCAATCCACAAAAAGAATCCAAATAACCCCTAAGACGAACTTCGACTACAAAAAAAAAAAGATTTTTTTAAAGAAAAGAAAAACCAACCTTTCCCTGGCTTCAATGTCCAAAACATTTTCGCCAAAGGAAGCTTCAACACCACCAAAATCCTTGCTCTCATTATTATTATTGTTACTACAATTATTAGTATTATCATTTCCATTATTCTCTTGCACAATTTCTTCCCTTCCAATTTCACCCTCCTTTTTCTTTTCCGCGACCGAACCCGACCCGCTACCCACACGAACTCGAGAATTAGAATTCGGGTTAGGGTTTTGAACACAGCTCTCCTTCTTACTCCCCTGTTGCTGTTGCTGCTGCTTCTGCCTCTTCGAATCATGGTGGTGTACCATAATCGGCGGCTTCTCTAACCGCCGACTCCGCAGCTGGAGATACGAGCCGTCTCCGGTAACCGGAGCCGGAGAAGTCGAGGACTTCTGTAGCCGTTGAAGGGCGAGGGTTTTGGCTCGGGTTCGAACCCCGAGGGAAGATTGCGAGACTTCCATTACGGCAACTTCCCCTGCCGTTTTGGCCTTCCTAATGTACTTACCCATTTGCGTTCGAACTTGTAAGGGTTTTGGGTTTTGGAAGAAAGAAGCTTAAGCTCTCATGAGAGAGAGAGACAGAGAGAGGGAAATGAGAGGAAAAGAAAGAAAAGGAAAGGGGAAAAAAGGGCGAAATCGGGTTAGCAGTTGTTTGTTAAAGAGAGCGAGAGAGAGAGAGAGAAAGAAAGTAAAAAAAGGTAGGGTTGGGGATGGTGGGAAGGTTTTCAGGTGGCTAGGATTATTTACTGCTTCGCTGTACTTTCAATTTCTCTTTTCATATATATCGTGATATTTCTACATTTTTTGTATTACTACAACTTACAAAATCATTTTCTTTTTCTTTTTAAATTATAAGATGGATCCTTTTTACTACCTTAATTATATATTTAATAAAAAAACATGATTTTTTTTCATAAAATTATACAATAAATATTTCTTATTGAATTAATTATATATTTAATAAATAAAAATATAAATATTTAATTAAAAATTATTATGTCAAAGAATCCGTAAATCTTTACCTATTTGTTAGTTTTCATCAAAATCATATTTTATTGTATAAACTCGGTAATAATTTAAATTTACTTAATCTACTTCTATATATGAAAAATATTCACAACCTCTTTCCATTTAAATCATTGAATTTCAACCACATAATTTTTAATCTCACATTTTAAAAACGAAAATCAAATATTAACACATGGATAATAGTGTCGATAATTATTTTTAAATGTATCTTTATCATTTTTTTTCTAAGATTTACATTACATTTTAGAATTTGAGAAACATTATATTTTTTATACCAACAAAATAAAGTTTGTAAATAATCATAAATAAAAATAATATAATGAAAATATTAAAAAGAGAATTATTGTATTAAGAAATTGTGTATATATGTGATAAAAAGTAAATGATATATATAAAGTTAATTTTATTCATAATCTAATTTTAATTAGTTAAAAATATTATAATTTAAGTAATTAGTTAACCAACCGTTGTAATCTAATAATATTAGATTTCAACTATATTATTGAATTATTGAATTTGTATAATTATCTTAATAAAAAAATTAAAAAAAAAAAAACATTGGAAGCAAGGTATTGTGCACAAGCCAAAATACTTAAAGTTATTATATTAATATGAACTCCAAATTTGATATATAGCTTAAAGTTATGTAAGATTGGAACTTAAATCCAATCTTATGCGAGTTTAAATTTTGAAAATAGAGTGTAACTAAATCTATAAATCACAGGTCTATATTCTACGTTCTTAACTATAAAAACATACGTGATAAGTTATTAAAGACCCCATGTTTTATATATAAAAAATCCATCCCATTATTAATGTGAGATTCATGATATTTTACCTCACTTAATTGTGTAATGTCTCCATTACACTAACTCTTTATCTATAAAAAAAAAAGACTCTTACATTAATCTAGATCTATCTCGACTCTTATATCTTTCATGAGGCCTTACATCAATAAAAATTTAAATATATTTTGATACCATTGATCTTAGATCGGAACTTAAGCTCAATTATATATATTGATAAAAGAAATGCTTTAATTTCGTAAAGTAACTCACAAAACCATAATTAATTTTATTTTTTCATTGAATATTTATATTTATAAGATTGTTATGTCTTTATTTGAGGATTAATAAGAAAAGTAATAAATAATATAATTATTAAATGAACATGTGTCAATTATATAAATTCATTTTTAAAGTTTAAAAATTCTATCCAAAGTGTATGAGTTACAACTTTTTATTAAAGTTTATGTCTGTTTTGGTATTTTTATATAAAATAATTATTAATTTTATAGTGAAAATTCTAGTAATTCAAAATTTACATTTGCACCAAACTTAATTTAGGACCTAAATCTCATTATCTCACGAGATGGGTGAACGACAACCAGTCAGTCATTGGATACCTTCTCTAAGTGGCCACGTGGAAAGTGCATTTCCAGTTTCAATTTTTTTTCCCAAATATCTAATGTATTCCACATATTTTTCTTCACTTACGATAAGACCAAACAGACCCACGACCGTAAGAGAGGAGCGTGCTTCCACGCGTATGATGGCATTCTTTACCAAGTCCAGAATCATGACAGGTATCAAATGGGGGCATGGAAAGCGTGTGAACAGTGTCTAAAAAAGTCTTTTTGTTTTATAATTGTTAGATCGATATACATATTATGTATTAAAATTTTATTTTTAAGTGTGAAGTATCATATCCTAAAATATAATAAAAATTTTTAAAAATTAATTATAAAATAAAAAATAAAAAATATTATAATGTTTAACAGAATCGAAGATTATAAGATATAAATTGAAAAGATGATTTTTTTAATTTAAATTTTTAATATATTTTTAATAATATAATTTTTAAATAAAATATTTTTTATATTAATTTATTAATTAAAAGATAAAAAAAATTATCATGTTAAAATTAAAATAAAATTTATTTATTTTGTTTAAAATCTAAAGATTGAGACTCATAAAATATAATTTTTTATGTTTCAACTCAAAAAAAATAAAAAATAAAATTTTTAATAATTAACTAGAATTAAACTTATAAAAATATGTATTGATTGTATCGTATAATATCATAAGATACGTATCATGTATCATATGATATATTTTTAATAATTGATCAAATATGATTCAATTATAAATATGTATCGTTTTTTATTAGTATCATACGATAAGTATTGCTTATCATACAATAATGAAAACTATATTTTATCCTTTAATTTTTAGATCAATCTCTTTTTCTTTATTCTCTTTAATTTTCATTTTTACACTTATGAGTAGGGT